ATCAAGATCTAATATGTGACAAATTGAAACAAAATCGGTTAGCCCTAAACTTCTTTTAACCTCTTTTATTTTCTCGATCAATTCGTCAGAATCCTCGTCGAACCCATAGCCAGAAAAAGCACGTAAAGCTTTCCTTGTTTTTCGCGGTTCACCCTCATTACCATACGCAACCACGTGCAAGGCTTTAACGGCCTTGAGCGCATTATTTTTAATATTATGAGCAATTTTCTCTATATCTCCTAATGTAGTCATATTTTTTATTCAAATTTAAAAAATGCTAAAGAAAATTTTAGATGAAATCTCAACTAAGCGAAAGTCGTGTACGTACGAATACTCTTCCTCGTTACATATATCAAATTAAATAGTAAATAAATATGTCAGTTTTACAGACAATCAAAATAGCTAAGAAAGTAATATTTCACATTTAGAAAATACCCTAATCTTTTAGAAGAAATGTAGATAGTATCTAAACAAATACCTAAGCAACCAAAATAGTATTTACAACAAAGCTAAAAATATTCAAATGAATAGGTCAATAATAGTCTTTATGCGAGGTTACATTAATCTCTTTTCATAATCGTTGAACCAGGCATTAATCTTCGCGTTAATAAGATTGGTATAATTAAATCTCCTACCTCAGCACATCCAATACTTTTTAAACATGTAACCTGGCGATTCCAACGTCTTCAACGACAGCAACTGCTAGCTATCTGCTATCTCGCTTCCAACAATGACAACTGGAGTGATATGAGAAATGTTTATTCTTCGTTAGTTAACACAAAGCGGCAGCTTCTAAGTCCAGAAATCGGTTGAACTAATCAGGTCTACGGCAATCAAATAGGTTATACCTATCAAAGATAGAGTTTAAAATACAGCTTTCATAAATTTTCTTTGTTCTTGGCACTATCCCGGTTGAGCCCCCAAATTGTAGGCTTTTTAATGTTTGTCTAGGGTTTTAATTAACAATACAATACACAGCTTCATGTGAATAACAGTAATAGTAACAATTTTTCGAGAAGGAGTATTCGTCTTTACACCTTCCTCGTCGTCTCGTCGTCTCTCAATTTTTGTCTCACAACAGCAAATTATAAATTAGGCGATATTAAGTAAACGCACAATAATATTATGGATATGAAATTAATAATTCTACAGAATCATCAAAACGTCAAAAAACTCTGTTGACAGTCAACAACTATGATACATATCTACATATATTTAAATGCGACTATATAAATTTTAGCTTCAAATTAGAGTACGGACTGGTCGGAGTTCTATTTGGTATAATTAAATAATTAGTTAAATTCGGTAATGGTAATTTGCACATTTTGTTGTTGTCAGAACTTTCGTCAGTTTTATTTAATTACTTAGAAGGAATGTCTAGAACCGTTTTACTTAATTGTTTCTAAAGTTTGAATGCATTGCGATATAAGGGAATGATTTAAGAAGAGATGTTCAGGGAAATTCCAAACACTCTATTTCACAAAAAAGTAGAGGCACTATTATATTTCGTAAAATAATTTAAATATTAATATTATTATTTCACCAGTGGTAGATAAAAAATTTTGAAATCATGATTTTTAAGTTGTAACAAAATATTATTCGTCTTTGTATTTGTCTTTGTTTTGTTAGAACTGATACACAAATAACACGAAATACAAAGCAAAAGCAGTAATGAAGAGAATTTCAGTACGTATACTTATATTTTTTTGTGTTCTCGACAAAAGTTTTGTGAAAAACTACGTAGTAGTGTGGCATTGTATTAGTAGTATAGCTAGTGAAGTTCTGTAACATAAGGATGGGGCGGGTTCGTTGGAGGTCGCCTTGTAGTTCTTGTAATAATGTTGAGGACAATTGCTAGAGGGTTGGTCTAGAGGGTTGGTTCAGATTTCTGTCGGTCTGATTTTATTGATGTCGCTGTAGTACCAGGTACATAAATTAGGTACCTGTGTATGATTGGACGCACCTGATGCTAGTGAATTTGAAGAAGTCAATTATCAGAAGTTTAATTTGAATTTCTGCCACCCGAATTTTGTAGATATTGCCTGTAGTGGTAAATGCAATAATTAACACTTGTGTATAAATTATGCACACCCGGTGTGCATAATTTATATACAAAAATTACACTTTTCCAAAAAAAGAGGAATGTTCCTTTTATATGACTTTAAGTAGATGAAATGGTTGTAAAAATGAAACTACTTTATTAAAGGCCACAGTTTTATTTTACCCCTAAACAACTATTAATTAATTCACGACTAACGTGTTGGTAAGTACGCAACCAGCTACACTATCAGGTGCTTCACTGGCTGCTGGTCCTTTTTCGTGAAGGTTGTCGATAGATGTCAAAAGTCATTCGATTTTGACGAATGTTGGTTTGAAGCTGTTGTTTTTAAAGGTGTGGTGAAATACAGTTTTATTTTAAACATCCTTTGAGAGATTTAACACCTGCGTTGAAAAAAGTGATTCTCCAATTTTGTGGATTGTTTTGTGAATAGAATTTTGGTGTTTTGTGGAGAATTATTTCCCGTTTCTGGGTTTCTTTTACGTGACAGCGAAGTTATATCGATGGCCACGTTCCAGCCAGTGTTCAATGCCGCCCCTTTGCCTGACGTTGTGTGGATTCCGTTTGCCCTGTCAGTGGATTAACTGCATTTTTGACCGAAAGCCTGCCCGCTTTGGCATTTAAAGAAAAATACCCTTAGTAAAAAGGTAAAAATTTTCGCCATTTTATACTCATTTCGCATGCTTACTCGTACTGTATAGCTATTACAACCGTACTTCTATACAGGGTTTTTTTCCCCTACGAAGTTTTTTCGCCCTGCAAACTTCCTTGTCTTTCGCTAGACACACATGTGATGGCTTCTTGTCCAGTGGCGTGCCCGTTGTTTTCGTCTTGGTGAGGATTATCTCGGAGCTAGGGTCGGCTATCATTCATTTGGCTACACTGCCCCTCTCAACTTGGTCGGACGGATCCCTAGGGCTTCTTGCCTTCGCCAACTATTGAGGTCTCCATTGGAACTTGACCACTGCACAGTAGATACCGTGACAATCATTCAGTTTAACTGATAAGTATAGTAGTAGTTAGTAGTGTTTAACATTCATTAATTAAATCTGTATTTGTTTATCCGATTATTTTTCATAACTTGTGTTGTAAGTTTGTTCGGGTAATATACCGGGTGTGCATCATTAGCTTTACCACTTAGGCACGGCCTGTATTTTATAGTGAGTTGACCTCACGTCCAGATACATTATTTTATTGTTCATATACTTTGTGCGAATCTGTTTAGGCATAAGTTGAGTAGTCGTTCATTTACTGTCAACCACTTGTAGCTACAACTGGAGAGGCCTTCAGCCGTCTCTCTAAGTGTAGAATTCTACGTTCTGCTATACAACCCAGTACCTAGTGTTATTAAAAGATCAGAGTTTTATTGCACCTTAGGCTAAGGGAGGAATATTCCTGAACTAACTCTCAGCTCTTAGTTGTGTCTCCTTTGTTTCGTGTGTCACAATTAGACTTTTCTCTGGGCTATTTAACGACCATGAGGATTTTTTTACCAGTCCGCACATAATGTATTGTGGAAGATATGGCTTGGAAAATTTAATTAGAAGTAAAGGTAAAATACTATTTTGTAAGTTAGAATTTGGTTTGTATAACGGTAGATATATTTATTATCAGCATGAATTGAGACAACCGACGAAGCTACAGTTATTTTTGAGGCCTTAACTGTAGACATGGAGTGAGTGTATACTGAACCAGGCAGAGTAATACGTCAACGAACGGTCACTACAACTCAATATCTAGGACTTCAACATGGCCACAAAGGTAAGTAGCCACCTGCAATTTCGCAGGTACTATAAATGAACGACCTCTCGCTAACTAGGTGAGCCGACATTTGACTGAGAATATTGTTATAAGGTATAGATTGTCTACAGCTAGAGTAACTTTTTGTCTTTTTATTTTCGAGACTCTAACCTAATAGAGGTATTAGCTAATAAATAAATATAGAAGTAGAGTAAGTAGATTATAAATGATAAAATATTATTTCTCAACGGGTGAAGGTGTTACAATCTACAACAAACAAATTACCGTTTGAGATATAAACTCTTATTTATAATTATTGTAGTCCAGGGACATTGTATCAACATAAAAAAATATTTTGTTAATACAAAATCTTTTAGGTACTAAATTGCGTAAGGAGTTATTAGCTCGAGGTAATAAGGGCGTTAACAGTTTATATGAAGCTTACAAAGAATATGATATTACGTACAGAACAGCAATGTGCACAAAAAGTCTCAGGGCAAAATTTTAGCTGCTAAAGCACCTATGCTGAAATCGTATCATTTGATTAAAATTGGCCGAGCTGGGAGTTGCAAAAGCAACGAAATGTAAAGTTGAATTGGGCTTGACATACAATTTTTATGAATAACGCAAGTTTATTCGAAAGTGATTCATTGTTTGGAAAAAGAAAATAACTGAAAATTCTTTATGAAATATTGAAATTTGTATGAAATACTGAAATAAATTAAATTGAATAATTCGCAACAACCACGGTTAGGGAAGAAGAATAAAAAACGAAATATTCGGAAAGATGATCATAATAATGATAACAGATAGAAGAAATTGCATCACCAGTATCCCATATATCTAACAATAACGAACCTGAAATTAAATCACGTAAAAGAAAATTTAAAATGATAATAAATTAATTATCAGTAGAGAAAAAAAATTTGAGGATGATAATACAATACCTATAACGTGTTCAGGAAAACGTTTAATGGCTAGAAAAAGAAAATTTGAGGACAATATTACAACACCTATAACATCTTCAATAAAACGTTCAAAGCTTATATCTAGAAAGGGAATGCTATATCCCAGACTAAAAAAAAAATTTCACTCAAATTCACTCAATTTTACTCAATAATATATCAATTTCTGTCCACATTGATTGAGTGAAATTTTCTAGATAATTATAATGATAGTGACAATGATAATGATTATGATAATGATAGTGATCATGATAATGATAATGATCATGATAATGATCATGACAATGACGATGATAATGATAATGATAATGATAATGATCATGATCATGATGATGATGATCATGATCAGTGATGCAGGTGATGCTGGTGATGCTGGTGATGCTGGTGATGCTTATGATGATGATGGTGATGATGGTGATGATGGTGATGGTGATGCTGGTGATGATGGTGATGATGGTGATGATGGTGATGATGGTGGTGATGGTGGTGATGGTGGTGATGGTGGTGATGATGGTGATGATGGCGATGATGGCGATGATGGTGACAATGATGATGATGACGATGATGATGACGATGATGATGACGATGATGGTGACGATGATGGTGACGATGATGGTGACGATGATGGTGACGATGATGGTGACGATGACGGTGACGATGACGGTGACGATGACGGTGACGATGACGATGACGGTGACGATGACGATGACGATGACGATGACGATGACGATGACGATGATGATGATGATGATGGTGATGATGGTGATGATGGTGATAATGATGACGATACTTCCTACAGGGCTTGCCATGGGGCACCAGAGACGTATTTGCTCTTTGCTTGCCCACATATGCAGTCTCGGCCTATATTCATAGACACAACTCAGCGTTGAGGGTGCTCTAATACCATATACTCTACTCATATAGGATAGACGAGACACAAAGGTTGCCTCAATATCCCCCCGCTCCGGGGGATATTGAGTCTATGTGAGAAATGAGAAGTGCCTAATCTATTGAAATTATTCGTTTCCCACCCTCAGGCAAATTCAAGCTAATAAACCTGATGCAGTCCTTCTTGACCATCACCTCGAGACAATGTTCGTAATTGAATTCTCAGCTCCTGGCGAGCATAAATAACATTGTCTCGAAAGAGGTGGAAAAGCGGACGCGAATTTACTATTTGACCTCCACAGGCTGTACCCAGACCATTCTATAAAATTTGTGGTACTAATAATAAGGGTCTTAGGAGGAGCAAAACACATTGTGCTGTCAGAATTTAAGATCATTCCGATCTGTCGACAATCGGCAGAAATCCTGGCTGGCAGAATGCAGAAGGCAGTTATGGCAGCTCCTTACGTCTACTCAGGGCCCACGATTCTCGGAGTCAATACTCACTAACCTCATGGATGGCTATTGTTAACTTCCAGCTCAACATTAGAGTTTGCTTAAGAAGAAAAAAATAATAATAGTAAAAGTTAAGTAAATGAACATCAGGATCGTTAGTAATATCCGAACTAGTAAAATATTGATTAATTTGGTTGAACATATGAGACTTCAAGTGGAAGAATGGTACTGTTATTTATTTTGTAAATACTTACATGTTGTAAATCTTTTCAAGCACTAGTTGAAAGGCTTTACTCCATGGATGTGGTCTGTCTGGATAACGCTGTGCATAAATTCGTGATGCCAATAACGGATTTCTGTCGCACTCACCGAGGACAAAAACTATATCAATCATTTCTTCCTGCGTCAGCGATATTTTGAAAATATTATAATAAACTTTTACTCTCTACTTATAGTCCAGTTGGTAGAGGGTCGGCGTGTGTCAAACCTTGATAACCCGGAAATAACTACACAGGTCTACTTTAAATGATGAGTACAATAACTGGCTAATTTGCTGACAAAGTATTTTGTCAGGAAAAAAAGTTATTAACAATTTAATTGTGAAAAAAAATTTTTTTAGTAGATTTCTTTAAATAACTCAGCAGGATGATTTTGTACGAAAAAATGCTTAGGACATGATTTTGTTCTAAATAAAAATAGCTACAAAATGGCGTTGGTCCGATTACAAAATTTCCAATAACAAAGCCGTGAGATTGAAAAAACGGTATAAAACGGCAATTTTTTTAAGTTGCTGTAAAAATGTCGATTATAAACAAAAAGTGATAAAACTTTCGAAAACTATAGTTCAATATATATACAATAATGACGCTAAAGCCGAAAATCAGGAGAGCAAAACTTTTTGTTCTATAAGGTGTTATACATTCATCGGCATCTGAAACTCGAAACTTTGCCAAATTTGTTCGAAGCTTTGCTGACACTTGAAATTTGGTACACACATAGTGTAAATATGCAGAAACCAAAAGCAATTTGCAAAATTCAAGTATCTTCATTTTTGCAGTTTTGGTAAGGTTTTATACGTCACCCTAGTTTTATACGTCACCGTTTTTTTAATTTTTGGACGTATATTTATGTATATTTATAAAATATTCCATTACGGTAGATTAGCCAGCATAATTACCTACAATTTAAAAAAATATATATTTTCATCGTTTAGATCCTAAGCTACTTAACATTTTGCGCCTGTTAGCCGTAGTCGTACATTATTCAACATATTAACATAAAACAAAATCGTACGTGTGGGGTAAACCTTTAACTTTTCATTTTCGAGCGCGAGCTCCGCTCTTCGGCGCTTGTATACTATTAGAAATATGCAACAGTAAATTTAAACAATTGTTTACTTAAAGTTAAAGGTTTACCCCACACGTACGATTTTGTTTTATGTTAATATGTTGAATAATGTACGACTACGGCTAACAGGCGCAAAATGTTAAGTAGCTTAGGATCTAAACGATGAAAATATATATTTTTTTAAATTGTAGGTAATTATGCTGGCTAATCTACCGTAATGGAATATTTTATAAATATACATAAATATACGTCCAAAAATTAAAAAAACTGTGACGTATAAAACTAGGGTGACGTACAAAACCTTACCAAAACTGCAAAAATGAAGATACTTGAATTTTGCAAATTGCTTTTAGTTTCTGCATATTTACACTATGTGTGTACCAAATTTCAAGTGTCAGCAAAGCTTCGAACAAATTTGGCAAAGTTTCGAGTTTCAGATGCCGATGAATGTATAACACCTTATAGAACAAAAAGTTTTGCTCTCCTGATTTTCGGCTTTAGCGTCATTATTGCATATATATTGAACTATAGTTTTCGAAAGTTTTATCACTTTTTGTTTATAATTGACATTTTTACAGCAACTTAAAAAAATTGGCGTTTTAAACAGTTTTTTCAATCTCACGGCTTTGTTATTGCAAATTTCGTAATCGACCACCGCCATTTTGTAGCTATTTTTATTACGAACAAAATCATGTCCTAAGCATTTTTTCGTACAAAGTCATCCCGCTGAGTTATTTAAAGAAAACTACTAAAAAAATTTTTCTTCACGATTAAATTGTTAATAATTTTTTTTCCTGATAAAATATTTTGTCAGCAAATTAGCCTGTTGTTATACTCATCATTTAAAGTAGACCTGTGTAGTTATTTCCGAGTTATCAAAAAAATGTCACCAACAGTAACTTTTCGGTCTCTGCCGACTGGAGTATTAACAAAGTAACTACAATGTCAACGTTGATCAAATCTAGAGTGACATTTAATTTGCTTTGTATGTCAAACAGAGCCATAAAAATTGTTTGCAAGGCCTTTTTGACGTTGCTACATAGCTATTTTTTCGGGCTTTAGAAAAGAACCTAATTTTTCCGGAAAACTGTTAGAGATACGTATGGACAACCTTATATCCGATGACAATTAATATGGGTCATTCCATTTGAAAAAAAAGTTTTTCAACTCGTAAGATCATTAAATGTAGGTCTCGTTTCCGAGCCTGAATAACGAATACGTTTTGCACACAGATGACAAATTAGAGTAATTTATGCCAAAATGAACTGTGAAAACTGAAGGTTTCTAACTCTTACAGTTTAGATGCTATCAGTCTCATTTAGAGAGCTGAAATCGTGATTTTTTCAAAAACAACTGAAAATGGTCGAAGACTCTCTCGAAAATGGTAAGTTTTAAACACCATGTAGATTTAATAAACTCTAATAATCAAGGAATTCAAAAATGCTATAATATACAGGGTGTTCCATTTAAAATAACAAAGTTATGTAGCGCCCACGCGAAACACCATGTAAAGTTAAAAATATTTTTTTACATGGTCCACATGATTCCAGGCAACTTTTATTAAAACCAGCTTTTTATAAATTTTACAGTTACAAAGTTACAGATGAATCCCTCTTAGGTGGAACACCCTGTATATATTTATTTCAAGCAAGGTCTGCAAGTAATTACCAGAGACAGACAGAAAATTTTGTTTTTTATCTTTACCGCATTAACCTATATAAACGTTTAAAATTAAAATTGTTTTCGAATTTAACTGATTATCAAATTGCTTTTAGAAACATTGTTACAATTAATGACATTTTTGCAAAATTAAAAAATTGGATTCCACTGTTAGACACATGTCAGGCCAAATATATTGGACAGACAGATAGACATTTAAAAGACCGTATTATCACATAAGAGTGATATTAGATGTAATAGAAATTCATGTATGTTAGCAGAACATGATCTAAATTGTAACCATAATATTAACTTTAATGATGTAAGTATTTTATATAGTGAGAATAATCATTATCAAAAGAGAATTATTTTAGAAATTTGAAATATTTTTTTAACGTCATGAACAAAAGGTATTAGTATTCAAAATTATAATCATAGTAACTTTATTTTTATCTTTTTCTAATAGCTTTATAGTTTTAAAACAGATTTTGCAATATTTAATATGTGCATGTTTCAGTTGGCACCTATAAGATAAATAAAACGAATTTTAATAAATTAGTTGAAAGTTTTCAAAATCGCATATGAGGAATGCAACGACGTGTCCTATGTTTTAGGAAAGCTAAAAGGATGTAATGTATTTCTGTTGACTCATAAGGTTGATAAGTAGTAAAGGCTAGCAATTTATATCCTACTTTATTAAAAATTTATTGTGACTTCTACTGAGGGTCCAACAATTATAATTCAAGGCGATAGCGGAATTTTAGTGATTCATTGTATCGGTCTGTAAATAATGAAGCGCTTTTGCTTAATGTTATTTTTGGAGTAATTTATTCTTCTGTGCTTTATTACTCCAAAATAATGATACTCCAAGGATATCCCAAGAGTTATGGTTATACCTCGAATTTTTACATTTTACGCTCAATGCCACTTATTATTATCTTGGACATGTCTTAACTTATTTCAAGGCATTTAAGGATATTGTTGCAAGTTAGGTTCTTAATTGCAGTCTAATTTAGGAATTCCAAAATTTACTTACTTTGATGAGCAAATAAATCATGTAATGTGTGACAATAATTTTGTAATACAGAATGAGATTCATATTTTTTTCTGTAGTCATAAAGGTATTATAAATTCTTTTTCCTAGATATTTTAAGAATTGACTATACTGTAATTGGATTTCTGTATTGGACATACCTGCAGGGTGTAAGAAGTTTGACTGCCATTACTTCAGCATGACGTGACAACAGCACTTAACCTGCTGATGCACACCATGTGTGCACGCGNTTACGCATTAAAAACTGTTTCCGAGGTTACCCCTTTAGGAGAGCGTAGCTCCCTTAGGAGCCGCCACTGACAAAAATTGTACTAAAGTTTTCGTCATTTTTCGACTTGTTTTACAAGCTCAGAAATTTTGAATACTTATTTCAGTTACACCTTGTATAAGATAAATAAAACGAATTTTAATAAATTAGTTGAAAGTTTTCAAAATCGCATATGAGGAATGCAACGACGTGTCCTATGTTTTAGGAAAGCTAAAAGGATGTAATGTATTTCTGTTGACTCATAAGGTTGATAAGTAGTAAAGGCTAGCAATTTATATCCTACTTTATTAAAAATTTATTGTGACTTCTACTGAGGGTCCAACAATTATAATTCAAGGCGATAGCGGAATTTTAGTGATTCATTGTATCGGTCTGTAAATAATGAAGCGCTTTTGCTTAATGTTATTTTTGGAGTAATTTATTCTTCTGTGCTTTATTACTCCAAAATAATGATACTCCAAGGATATCCCAAGAGTTATGGTTATACCTCGAATTTTTACATTTTACGCTCAATGCCACTTATTATTATCTTGGACATGTCTTAACTTATTTCAAGGCATTTAAGGATATTGTTGCAAGTTAGGTTCTTAATTGCAGTCTAATTTAGGAATTCCAAAATTTACTTACTTTGATGAGCAAATAAATCATGTAATGTGTGACAATAATTTTGTAATACAGAATGAGATTCATATTTTTTTCTGTAGTCATAAAGGTATTATAAATTCT